CACACAAATAAATACACGCATACACACGTAGTACTCCTTTTTGTTTGTAATCGGTTATTTGTAAATATTTTCATTGTTGTTACTACAAAGTACATTGTTACTGTTGTTATTGTTGTTGTTGTTGTTTGTTTGTTTTTGTTGTTACTTTTGTAGTTGTAGTCACTTGCCTGCGGATACAATTAAATCGAGACAAAATTATGTTTTATGAATATTTGAGAGCAACTGAAACTCTTAACGACTCAAACAAATCCCCAGCAATAAGTTATTGCAACACAGTCGGTAGGCTAAGAGAGGGAGAGGCAGCGAGAGAGAGAGGATGAAAAGTGTGTGCATTGAAGCATGAGGGAAAATGTTGTAAAGTCATTGGCACACCTTGGCATGCCAATGGGCAAGAAAGAAGTTACTATAATAATTGCCAAGCCATTGAAAATGTTTATGTTCATACTTTTATGGACTAGAGTTTTCCTCAATCAGAAAGTTTTTTTGTTTTTATTTTTGTTTATATTTTTTCTTTATATTTTTATTTCACTTATGCTCATGGGTCTTTCATTTCACTATTATTCCTCTCTTTTTTTTTTTTTTTTTTGTAATTCATATTTTTATGTTACTGCGCAAAGTTGTTGTTGTGTGTTGATGCGTTGTAAGTAAGCTTTGTACAGAGGACTACTTGGTAAATATTAATATCGTATGAAAGTTTATGTCCTGCACACAAAGTTGGTCCTTCGGGTATATCAGCAGTGGTAAATCACTGGAAAAAATTTTAAGTTGCTGCAATGCATTGCTGAGGAGGTAGCGATATTATTGGAAGGGGCCAAAAGTTGGCAAACATTCGTTATTATTCAATATATTCTTTTATTATAGAGTCCAACGTTTGGCTTACTCTTTTGAAATGGATCTTAGAATGCTTGCAGCCAAAAAAAAAATTCAAGAAATATTGCTGCTTGACTTATTTGAGTACTTTTTATAAGGAACAACTCATTTTTTCGTTCGTTTCCAGTATCTCTCTGTCTAAGGATTGCGGGGTTCCAACTTGGTATATTACAGATCTCAGGTATACATCAGCTTATCGAGTTCTGGTAACTTTTTTTGAAAGCTAAGGAAATTAGATATACACTCTTTTATTTAGTAAAAATCTAAAAAAAAAAGAAAGAGCTTTAGGCATCAAAGCTTTGTTTCTAATGGAATACGGTCTCTACGCTACTATTTAGGGAAATTGTAAAATAAACTGGAAGAGCTTTAAACATGAAAACTTTGCTCTTAATGAAATAATGTCTAATATGGTATTAAACAAAGTCGAAGAGCTTTAAGCATCTAAGCTCGTAGACAGTACATTTTATTTTTAATGTTTTTTTTGCTTTGGACCTTTGAAACTTAGTTTCACCGAAAGTATCAGTAGAAGTTTTTATTTCTTTTTTTATTAAAATAACTTACTCAGATAAAGCTTTACAAAACATTTTCGGGCAGTAGTGTTTTGTTACTTTTGCGTTCCTGATATTTGTGCCTTAATTCACTTGAACTTTTACAATTCCGGCTTTTGAATTTATTCAGCTCTGCCTGTTTTAGACGGTAAATTTTACATCTTTACAGTTTTTAATATTTACGGCTTAAAGCTTTTGAGCTTTTCAGTAACTATAACTGTATTAACTTTGTGAATCAAATCATATAAAAAGCTCAACAATTTAATTAAAGTTATTTTTTTGAATTATTTCAATTGAACATGAGCCAATTCAGTTCGAACCCTGGAAAAACTAAACTTAATTTTTTTTATACTTTGGCACACAGTCTCTTCTTATTTAAGTTCTGTTTAGCAATTAGTCTATTGAAGGATAATTCATTTTTTGAAGCGTAGCTCCAACTTACCAGGCTTCTAACTTTTAAGATTTGTTTGAACTTGTAAGCAGGAATTTTCAAGTTGAAAGCTTTTTAATTATGTTTTTAATTTTTTCAGCTTTCATAATATTTTCTCAATTTTCAATTCCCTGCAATTTTATAATCACTAGTTTGTTTATTGTTGAGCTTTTGAACTTACTTAGCTTCAAGCTCTACAATTTTAAGTTTATATAAAATATGAAAGCTTTATTTCTTTTATTTAAATTATTTATTTTTTTAATTTTTACCTCTGAATTTTGATTTTTTTTCTCAAAATTTATTCAGATATCTTTATATATTTAACTTCCAATTCGTAAAACTTTGAAATTCTGGTACTCAAACTCAAAATATGTGCTTGAGCTTTTCAGCTTCATGAGCTTGTGAAATAGAGAAAATAATATTGTCTAAGCTTTTAAGCTTCATACATTTTATTTCTGCAAAAGAGAATGTGCTTCAACTCAAAATCTGTGCCTTAAGTTTTTGAGCTTTAAAGCTTCATACATTTTAATTGTGAAATAGCGAGTTATTCTATAAATATTCCAGATTTCTTTACTCTATTCCGTAATACATATGTATATGACATACAAGTCTTTCAATACACTTTTTAGCAAAAAATAAAAAAATTTCTTGCGCTTTTTGAACTTGCGCTTTCGAACCCAGTTGCAGAAGCACGATATAATAAATACCCTTGATGTGTTTTCTATATATGTACATATATATAGTATTTATTCGAATTTATTTTGCTTACTTCTTGCCACTTTCAAGCCATATTTAATGACATTGTTAAGCCCTAAACGGTTACATAAAAGTTACCGTAATGCAATAAGAAATCCAAGTCATTAGGAATTGGAAATGAATTGTGATTTAAATTTTCGAAAATTTTCGTAATTAAATTTGGCACAAACCAATGATGCATACAAATGTGCAAACACATTTATTGAATATTTATGAAGGTTGAAGAAATTTTCACAAACTTTTTATTGCTTTCATGCGAAAGTTTTCTCAAGAAATGTAAGGAGATTAAAAAGTCTCGCCGAGCTTAGGCTGGCTGATAGGTTGGCAGAGTCGAGCAAGTGAGCTAAATAAAATGAAATATTGATTGCGTATTTATGAAAGAAACTCAGATCGAATAGTTAATTAAAATATGAAAGTAATTTATTTGAACAAAATGAAAAAATTATTATTATAACCTCAAAAATTGTATTGCAAATTTAATAAAAATTATGAATCTTAAATCACAGCAATTAATGCAGCATAAATTGATGCCCATATTTACACTGTTCAAAGTTTGTAAGCGCAAAATTTTTCAATTTTGTAACAACAGTTACAACGGTGTTTGTATTGAATTATTCAGTTTTTACTTGCTTACTTGCTTGCTTCCTTCGTAACATACTCCTTCTGCCGCTCCGTAAATACGAACGTATGCAACAACTAATGAATACACAAATATGTGCATACTCAAACATTTTAACTTGTACTACTGGCATGTACTTCTGAGAAAAAAATAAAAATCGAAAAAATAAGAAAAAAAGACGAAAAAAACTTTTCAGCTTTGGCGTCGATGGAGATATAGAAAAATGTAACATGAAATATGCAAACGATATGTCAGTAGCGAATTTATTGGCAATTCCACAATTTTTCCCAATTGCATGTGCAAATGTATCGACAGCAATAGAGAACCCATAGGCATTACGCTCCCGTTGTGCCCCCTTACGGGGTGGGCTATAATCGTTTCGTTGCTGCTTGCTTACATATTCATTTGCTCATAGGAAAAAGTTTCTGCAAAAGTATACTTACATAGCTATTGACACATGTATATACATATATATACATGAAACATGTAAACAAACTTCAGCTCTTCCTCCCAGGTGTTCAGTTGAGGAAGGAACCCACTTGGAAATTCTTGCAGCTTAAATCTCAATTTGTTTTTCATCTTCCTCTTCTTTAAATGTTCGAAAAAAAAACTTTCGAAACTTTTTTGGCAATTACTGGTTCCAATGTCGAACCACAGCGAAGCTCAAAGGAAAAAAAATCGTATTAAGATGGCCGATATCATAATCCATGTATGAGCTATTAACAGTTTTGCTACATTGATGTTTTGAGCTTAAAGCTCCTCAAGCACTTATCACTCAAGTTTCTAAGTCTTTTAATTTTAAGATTTGCATTATTTTTACATATTTTATTAACTGACTTGGTAAAACCAATCTTAAGCATAGAGCTTTTAAAGCTTTTTTTCAGAAAAATCTTTGAGTTGTTTAACTTTGACTCTAAATTTTTCTTCATACTTAATTAACAGAGTTGGTAATTGATACAGAAAGTGGAAAAGCTTTCAATATTGGCCTTGAACATAAGATTTAATTCATAAGATTTCACTGAAGTTGAAGTTAACAAATTTTAGGTATCATAAGAAAATCTTTCAGTATCATCTTTCATATATAATTTTAGGTTCCAAGTATAATTTTAGATTTGACGCCTTTGAGCTTTTTAATTTTATCAACCAGCTTTAAGCCTGAGTCCTTAAAAGCTGAAGCATTTAAGCGCTTAAGTAAGTAATTAGATTCAAGTGAAAGATTTAGGTATCTATACTCCTGAAATGTAAAGATTTTAATATTTTTAATTTAATGATCTTACGCTAAAAAGCTTAAACATATAAAAACTTTTCATTCAATTGCAACTTTAGAGCGCTTTCTTGCGTCTTTGAATCTCCAACCTTGTAAGCTTTGTGCGACATATTTTACCTTTAGCACATTCTAATAAATGCCACTTTGTTTTCTAAAGCTTTTTTCTTCAGCTTTTGAAAGTTGTATATATTTTCAACTTTCTAAAATCTTAATTCATAATGAGGTCTTTAAGTTTTTATGCTTTTAAGTTATTTTCCCTCAAGCCCTTTCGTTGCTCATTATAGAATTATTAAATTTCCATTTCAAAATAAGGAAGTTTTTCGTTTGGAACTTTTGAAAAGCATACATTGACATTTTAGAGTTTTGTGAACTCAATATATTTGAGATTTTAAGCTTCAAATATTTTTGAAAGTTTCTACTTTGCAGCTTTGATAATTTAAATATAAACTGGAAAGATTTATAATACTTTTCAAAATTCTTTCATTTCACTTTTAACACTTTAAAGAAAATTATATAGATATTTCCTAATTTTGTAGGCTCATTATATTTATAATGCTTTGAACTTTTAAGCTACAAGCTTTTTTGTGTATTTTTTAAGCAAAAATTTGTACCCTCAGATTTTAAGATGCTTTTCTCCCAAATTCCCAGTATCTTAGGCTTTAGGCTTTAAGCTCTTTATTGTTAGCTTTGAATCATTCAAGCTTATCAGCCGTAAGCACATTGATTTTTTAATCAAAATCCATAAAAGCATTGTGAGCTTTGAATTTTATGTTCTTCGAATTCATATTTTTTCATATTCTTTCAGGGCAGCTAGCAAGCAACTTCTACATCAAACGCCAACGGAGCCAGCATGCACCAATAAACAAACCAAAAGCCCACCAAATCTGGGATTAAAACACAGAGGGCTTACGTTTATTGTTTTTTTTACGAAAATTCCCAGCATTGTCAAGGCATCGCGAATAGCAAACAAGATGCTGCAAAGCGTGCACTTGCAACTACCGTCGGCTGTTACGTTGCAACAATAACACACAGCTGTTCGGCAAACTATTCTTGCTGTTGTGTCTACCGTTATACGAGTTTAAACTGAAATCGCCTGAAGAATAAACAGAGAATATATTTTTTTCACGAGCAGCTAACAAATATACAAATCCTTGTGCTTACTCATAAATGGGTATATCCATGTGTGTGTGTGTTTTTTTGAGGGGAGCGTGAGTATGCGAAGTACAAAAAATGTTTGCATCTCCCACGTAAAAACCAAAAGGCACGGTTGCATACATATATGTACATACATATAGAGTACAGTGCTCTGTGTGTGTTGGTGCACCTGCATGTGCAAAATCTATTGCCAGCAAGAGCCCAACCAACCAAACCAGTCAATGCTGGCAACGAGCTACTAAATGGCTGTTCAATATCCTGCAGCATATTCGATGCAACAGCAGGAGCGCACAAAAACAGCTGCACAAACAACAACTAGCGTCACCAAAGTAATGCTCAGCAAAACGTCATAAACATAAACGGATTCATATTTATTAAATACATTTACATGTACATATGTACATATGCATATGTATATAGATCGCTTGGCCCAAATGCATGGTAAATGGCCTGCAGCATTGCAATTTTATCAATTTCTCACGTAAAATATGTTAACAAATTTTTATGATTTGCCAGCGCAAATTAATTTTTTTGGCGAGTGGGCGCCCTGAGCGCTACCGACCGCACACACATATTTTTCATATGCATATAACTGCATACGTAAATAAATACAGGTGCATATTTTATTATTACGGTTGTGTGCAATGCTACGAAAGGTAAACGCATTGATATGAATCGCGGCGAATTGAATATTGCCATAATAAAATGCAAATATGCTTTCTCTATCGAACACACACCAATACACACGCATACACTCAGAGGGCAAAAAGGACTCATTCGATTACTAGCAATTAAATGGCAACTATAAGTGCTCTGTATGGGATGCATTTGGATGTGTGTGTATACCTTAGCTATCGGCATCAGGTGAGTTTGTGGAAAGCTTTTTAAATGCATTTTTTGTACTATTTCGGGACAGCAGAGGTAAGTAATTATATCAAATAATATCAACCTTTCGTTTTATATAGTATAAAAGCAAAAGACATAAGCAAAGTTTTCAATTGATTATTCAATTTGTGAGCACACAATTCATTGATTCATTCATTTGTGGGATTTTTGGAATAAGTGGAAAATTTAAATTAAAAAAAAATACAAAAATGCGTTCAAAGCTTCGTCAGGATCGGAAAGGACATCTCATAGCCGTACGATACCAAACGAAGTTTCAGACAGGGTTATCGTGTGACGTTTTTAATTTTTTTGCTGGAGATAATAAAACAAGCTTCGGAGCTGTATAGAGAAGGTGCACTCTTCTATAAGAAGGTGCATCAGCTCAAAGACACATGTAATAGCAAGAATATTTTAGTTTCGTTCAGTGCTTGGTGGACTAGTGATTTTTATGTCAATGTCAATATCCGTTATTTTCTCAATATCGAACGATCCTATTCCCATACGGTTTAAGGGGTTACATCTAGGTAGGAGACCTTAAAAAAGAGGTTTTTCAAACATTTTTCACAAGGAAACTTTTAGCTTTATTATTTTGAGCATTTGTACACATATTATGGCACCTTTGAAGAGTAGTTAGAAATTTTGTATTTATAAAAATAATTGTTTTTGAAGCTGCTACAGCAGATCTCCAGGGACTCCTCCCAAAACAGGCGTCTTGCGGTGACCACTGTATTTCTGAAGTGAAACATCTGAAATGAAAAAATCGAACGGATTTCGTTAAAGTAATCTTGTGATTAATCAATGGAGTAAGTCAAAACTTTTTATTTGACAAAATGACGGCTTTTAAAAAAAAATTCAATTTTTCTCCATAATTTTGGTCTTGAATTGCGGATTAAAAAAAAACTTTTCATCAGTAATGTAAAAGCTTCGATTAAGTACTAGAAAATATTGTTCAAAAGCCTGTGTAAAAATTTGAGACTAATCGGTTTAGCCGTTCCTGAGAAATCTTGGTCACCGACTTGAAAAACATAGTTTTGAGAAAAACGAGGTTAAAGTTTGAAAAGCGTTTCAAATGCTCTGACGCGTCGTTACAGATATGCCTGTAACTTCCAGAATAACAGTCGGATCGACTTGTAATTTTCAGAGTATTTACTTGAAGACATGTACATTACGAAAATGAAATTAAAAAAAAATCGATTTTTTGAAAATTCCAACTAGATGTAACCCCTTAAGTGGAAATCTTGCCTAACCCATGCTTTGAGAACTATCTTCTAGTGATTGCTTAAGTTCAGTACGGCTTTAGAGCTCATCATTTTCCATTACCCGTTTTCAAGCGTAAAATGCAGTTATAGCTTTTCTCGACTTTTCTGCCGTGTTACAGCTAAGATTATCCAGTAATATTTGACAATAGAGAAGCTGATTTTGAGCCCTTTAGCAGAGGCGGCTTAAAAGGACGTACTTGCTGATAAGTAGGGCTATTTCATTTTGAAGCAAATCGCTTAGAGTCTCCAGCGTATGTCCCCATAATGCAACACGTGCTCTTCTGTTTTCGAATCAGGGGTTAGGATGATCTGTGAAGGTTACCTTTTTTTGTGTTTCTGGTGATACTGACGCTACGAGGATATTTTTCTGAATAGTCAGCTCTTCTCTAAGTGGTGCGCCATGATCGTAGTATCCACTTCGCTAGCAAATGAAAGCGGTGGAGACTAATCCGAGACTTATGATACCTAACGAGGCTTTAGACAAGATGATTCTTGATCGTGTGATTTTTTTTTAACTTATTGCTGGAGAGAATAATAACAGCTGCAGAGCTGAATAGAGAAGGTACAACCTTCTATAAGAGTGTACAACTACTGGCGTACGCCGATGATATCGACATTATTGACGTCAACAACCGCACCGTGAATTTTGATATCTCCCGACTTGATAAAGAAGCGAAGCGAATGGGTCTGGTAGTGAATGAGGGCAGGACGAAATATCTCCTGTCAACAAACAAACTCTCATAGCGACTGTCATAATTTCGAGGTAGTAGATAATTTCGTCTATCTAAGAACCAGCATTAACACCAATAATAACGTCAACCTTGTAATTCAACGTAGAATCACTCTTGCCAACAGGGGCTACTCTGGACTGTGTAGGCGATTGAAAAGTAAAGTTCTGTCTCGGAGAACGAAAACCAAACTCTTGCAGTAACTTATCGTTCCCGTTCTACTATATTACGCAGAAGCCTGGACGATATCAATATCTGATAAGTCGGCTCTAGAAGTCTTCGAGAGAAAGGTTTTGCGAACGCTTCATGGTACTTTGCGCATTGGCAACGGCGAATACCGTTAACGAAGGAGCGATGAACTGTACGAGCTATACGAACATATTGACAATGAAGAGACAGCACTCCATAGCACAGACACAACACTCCAGCTTTGAAAGTATTCGATGAAGTACCAGTGGTGGAAGCAGAGGAAGAGGAAGACCTCCACTCCGTTGAAGGGACCAGAGGGAGAGTGACCTGACTTCAAATAGTATTTCCAACTGGCGCCAGACAGCGAAAAGAAGAGAGGAATGGCGCGGTAATATTGATTCGGCTATAATCGCGTAAGCGGTGTCAACGCCACTCAAGAAGAAGAAGTAAATGTAGTAAGATGTTGTTCGAACATTTTTACACGCTCGTTCGTACCTCATTGCTCGTGCTCGTTATCCATAATTTTCGAGCTAAGAACAAGTGGGCGAGTACTACTTCCTTATATGCTCGAGCTGATCGAAAACGCTGCTCGTGTCTGCTGCTCGTACTGCTTGGTACCAGGTCCGTCCTCGGTACCCTGTCGGTCCTAGTCTTCCTCTAAGTAAGAGTGTAGCTTCATCACAATCTCTACTTGGACAATAAAGTCATTTAGTCCGAAGCCGTTTTCATTATGGGGCAAAGATAGACATATACAGCTAATGGGGCTGCGTCGAATGCTAGGTACCACTGGGGGGGGATCGCGTAGAAGGAAAATAAATATTTTAATAGGCATAGCGAATCTGAGAAATAATATTTCAAAACAGGATGAGGTCTAATCGGTTGAGTATAGTGAAACATGAGCAAATAAACAATGCACCAAATCGAGGGTCCTGGCTGGCTGGAATAAGCAAATGAGAATAATTAGTGCGACCGCTCGGCATTACTCTACCCTTCCGACCAACATATTAGCTAGTCAAATGATTTCGAAGAATATTTTTTTAACAAAGTTGAATTTCTTGTAACTTCAAGAAAACTCAATCAAAAGTTGTAAGAAAAGAAAATAAATATACAAATCACAAAGCTGTTTGTCTCAAGTCAATATTTAAGATAGAAGATTGAAGCTCCCCGATGTTGCGAAATACCGGTTTCATCTTTAAGACATGCGCCAGCTTTAGCAGAAAACTCTCCACTACACAAGCGGTATTTACATCGAAAAACATTTGAAAAATCCGTAACAGTTTCCTACACCTATTTCAAGGATTTTTTTTTTTTTTTTTCAGAATAAAAATCGCGTTTGTGTTATCGGCGCCAGTGGTGCTATTGGTCAGGCGCTTTCACTGCTGCTAAAACGGGATACTCGCGTTACAGCGCTCTCACTCTACGATATCAAGAAAGCGGTCGGTATAGCGCTGGATATGTCCGATATCGATACGAATTCACTTATAGGTGGACATGAAGAATTGGAGATGTTACCGAAGGCTTTGTATTGTAAGCCACAATTATTACTTACTTTATTATCTTGGCTAGCTTCTTCTCTCCCGCCAATCCTCTTACGCAGGCGCCGACGTTGTTGTAATAGTCGCAGGCCAACCACGTAAAAAAGGTATGACAGATGACGAACTCTTGAAGAAAAATGCCGATGTCATTATTCAAACTATGCCGCACATTGCCGAAACTTGCCCAAAGGCATTAATTGCCATTGTCACGAGTCCTGTTGACTCGCTTGTGCCACTAGCAGCAGAAGTACTCAAAACGGTTAGCTCACCTTTGGTAAAAGACCGAGCTACAGCCTAAATATGAAATTTTTCTTTCCCCACAGAAAAATGCTTACGATCCCAACCGCCTATTTGGCGTCACAACTCACAATGCTGTGCGCGCACGTACCTACATATCCGACGTGTTGCAAGTGGATGCATCATCGGTGAAAGTACCGGTTATTGGTGGCAATTCCAAATGCACAATACTACCAATACTCACACATACCAAACCGATATTGAAAATCGAAGACGAAGACGATGCATTGCCAATTATTAAAAAAGTACGAGATGCCGAGGAGACCGTCGCCAAAACGAAGGGTGCACCACCAACGCTGGTGATGGCGCATTCTGTTGCAAAATTCACGCATTCGCTGATATTGGGCCTGGCCGGATTGGGTGATCCGGTTGAGTGCGCTTATGTTGAGTCGACTGTCACGGATTGTGCATTCTTTGCAACTCCATTGAAATTGGGCAAGAATGGTATTGAGAAGAATTTGGGTATACCATCGCCTTTAGCGAAATTTGAAGCTGAAATGCTGCAGGAGCTGATGCCTGAGCTGAAGGAGAGCATTAAGAAGGGTTTGGAATATGCCAAGAAGGTGGATAAGGGAGAAAATAAGAGGGAGAAGAGTGAGAAGAGCGAGAAGAGTGAGAAGAAGTAAACATATTTGGGCGAAGAAGTCTTTTAAATAATTATAACTTTCTATTTTATTAGAAACTTTCTTGCGGTTACATTTTGTTTTCACAAGAATTTAAATATAACTCATATTACTTAATTTCTTACTTCGGCTGAAGCCTCTTCTCTATATTGTAGTGTTCGCCTACATGCTTTGCAGAAAAATAAAGGAACCCACAGTTTAATCTTAACCGTCCCCGAACTGCTGATGGATTTTTATGAGGAGCCTCTATTTAAGCTTTTGTCCTAACATTTTCAAACAGTTCGAGTATTTAGTATTCGAAAACTTGTTCATTGCTCATTCCTCCCCTCGATTTGAAAACTGTCTTCCAATCATGCTCAGTAAGGTCGCGTCTGAAACTGGGAGCGTGCTGAAACGCATTCGCAAAGGACTCCGGATCTTGAAATTCTCTGTGCAGGCTTTTCAATCAGCTGTTGCAAATATTTCATGTTTTCGAAAGTGGAATAAAAGTGATACAAGTGAATAAAGTTCTTTTTTTTTCTGTTGGATTGCTCTAAGATCTTAAGTGTTTTCATAGGAAAAACTGCTTTAAACAGCAAGAGAAGGTGTGAGGTCGGCGTCAATCAATGCTTATAACTTTGTTAGTAGCATCAGCTCGAGCCAGCTCGTGCCAGCTGGTGCCAGCTCGTTCCGCCTTTTATTGGCTTTTTTTTATCAGTACGAGCAAGTGATCATACTTGAAATCTTCCTCCCTCTTCTGAGTAATATTCAAATATGAAAAAATATTTACCGTGAAAATGGGTCGCAACAGCTATTGTAGGGCATAGGGGTTAGCTGCCATAACACTTGATCTTGTCGATCTGACAGGCAGAGCTTCAATCTCATCCGGTTCCGTCTTTTACTGTACTCCAGCTTCGTTAGACGGCTGTTAGACTTTACATGCTTTGCCTGCACTTATTCTTTGGTTATTTATTGCTCCTCCTCATTTCAAACTAAATGCAAATGGAGATCTCTCTCTCTACAGTTTCTAACGGACAGGATATTATCTCTGCGTCGGATTAATCTTAGGTCGCATCCACAGCTTTTTCGCTACCAAAAATACCAAGAAATTCAGTTGATAAAGATGAATTGACCTACTAGCGAACTTCACCTTGCTTGCTTGCTTGCTTCAATTGTCGATGGCGTTGGATATTATAAGTGGCGATGATGAGGTTTGCAATACACCCGAGAACAAGAATTTACCCGCGGTAAGGCATGCCTGTCATAAAGGGCGACTAAAATCCAATAGTTCCCGCGACAGTCTCGTCTCTATACCGGAACGACCCGGATTTTTATCCGGCCAAGGACTGCCGCTCCCGCAACATTCGCCAAAAAGTACTTTGGGGAATCTTTTTGAGGTTCCAACAACAACAAGAGGTTTGCAATACCGATTAGAGAATATAGTTGATTTTCGTATTCTCCCAAAACCCTGTAGGACTTTATGATGCATGGTACTCTCACTTGGCAAAACTTTTAGTAACTAAATATAACCCCCTCTCAGACCCCAACCCTTAAGGACGCAGCAGTGTGGAACGGGATAGTGTAACATTTTCTCTATTTACTAGTGAGCATCCTCAACTGAAGGCCACTGTTGAAATATAATCTTGGGCAGGATCTATTTTTCTTTACTGGTGTGTTTCCGAATTGCTTTCATCATGCTGTTCCGAAACCTTTGTATTCCACAGATAAGTAAAAAAAAAAGTATCTTAAAAACTGGAGAGAGAAGAATGTTGCTTGATTTTAAAAACCTTCAATTTCATTTTCCATACAAATGCCATAATGGGCTTTGTTAAGGACATTTATGTTATTTTGAAATTAGCTATTTATATACACATTTACATATAAATATGCATGCTTATGCATAGTTAAAATCTACTATTGTGTATAGTCACGGCTGAATGCATTTTTCCAACTTTTATGTGTGTGTGTGTGTGGGAAGAGCGAGTGGAGGGCGTGAGCTGCACGTTTGACCTTTTACGTTACGCTCGTTTGTGTGCAATTTGTAGTTTTCTCTCATGCATATGCGCACACACATACATATGATATGTATGTATGTATGTACATTTCTACATTTTACTTTTACTTATCTTTTTATATGCACTTTTGTGTCACTTAGTGAAATGAAACGTAACGACATTTTTATGCGACATTCTGTCGTCTGCAATTTTTATACTTTTCTCTTGCTGTTGTTGTTTGTTACATTCTTTGCTGTACCTTGTGTTGTTGTTGCTTTTTTTTGTGTGGGCTTTGAGCTTTCTTTGTTTCAGTTTTTGGCTTATTTTTTGCAATGTCACATTTTTCAGCAAATGCAATCAGTTTTCATTTATTTTCCTCTTAACATTGTTCTATGCTCAGTTTCTTTCTTTAGTACTTTCTCTTTTATTGTAAACACAATATTTGCATTTTCTTGCTTGTGTTTTTTTCTCTCCCTCTCTCTTTCGCTCTCTCTGTTTCTCTCTACTTCATTATTATAGCAATTTTTGATATTTTTTCTCATTTGTATTGTTGAAATTGTTTCGCAATTTATGGCGCAATCAAGCACATTAATTTTGTACTCGAAAGCAAGCGGGCAATTAGAGTGAAGTTTTCAATGATGTTTATGGAGAAAAGGCGGCAAAGGATAATCATTGGGAAATGTATGATATTTTTTATTTTTATAATTTTCTGCGAGTACTGAAAATATTTACTAAATCAATAGCACATGTAGGTGCACCCTATTTTAACCAGAAATGGAAAATTCGCTGGCCGAAAGATGCCCAGTAGATATAGCAGTCAAAGCGGCTTTAGGGGCCAGAGATAATCCTATTGAAAGCAAAGAGATAATGCATTAGAATATAGGTGAGCGACAGGGAAGATGCGATTCGCATCTGAAAGGAAGATAATCGAAGAAGATGATTCCAAGTGTGAGCAAATGGATCGAAAGACTGCACGGCGAAACCAACGATTACAAAGCACTGCACGAGCAGCTCACACATTGACTGCAGAGAGCCTGCTTAAGGCGATTTTATCTAAGTAACATACGAATTCTAGTAAAAGGGTATTAATTATTTTCGCGATAGATGGCTTTACTGATCTGCATCTCGCTTTCAATAAGTGTGTTTGGGTTAATAATAAATTATACGAGGTGTGTTCATGAATTTTGAATTTTCGCGGACTACGTATAATCGAATTTCGATTTTTTTGTCACTCATGTCATGTCTGTCACTTATGCCGACAAGCTCGGCCATTTTGAATGTTCACTTAATTGTTGACAGCTGCTTTGCTTGCACATGTTTCGGATGGTCTTCGATTTTTACCTATTCAAAAAAATGGAGCAAAGAACCGGAATCAAATTTTGTGTGAAAAACGAAATTAAGTGCGCGAATGCATTCCGAATGTTGACTGTGGCATACGGAGAAGCTACCTTGGACCGAAGCAATGTTAATCGGTGGTACAAAATGTTCTCAGAAGGCCGAGAAGATGTGAACGACGAAGAGCGTGCCGGACGCCCGAGCACTTCAACAACAGAAGAAAAAATTAATTGCAGGGCCGAGGTGCAAGTTATGCGCAATTTGCGTGAAGCAATCCGCCGGAAGCGCCCGGATTTGTGGAAGAACAAAAATTGGCTTTTGCATCACGATAACGCCCCTGCTCACACATCGTAGCTTGTGCGCAACTTTTTGGCCAAAAACAACACACTAATGATGCCGCAGTCACCGTATTCCCCAGATCTGTGACTTTTTCTTGTTCTCTAAACTGAAGAGGCCCATGAAAGAACGACGTTACGCTGCGATTGACGAGATAAAGACGGCATCGAAGAAGGAGCTGACAAGATAAAAAAAAATATTTTTTGAAGTGCTTCGAAGATTAGAAAACCGTTGGCACAAGTGTATAATACCTCATGGGGATTACTTTGAAGGGGACAAAATAGATATTCATAAATAAATAAATAGTTTTTGAAACACAAAAAATTCGCGATATTTTTTGAACACACCTCGTATATTAATATTTTGTACTAAAAAAGGCGAAAACTCAAGTCAAGCATGACAAAATGTGAACAGTGTTTATGGTCCTGTTACTGTAACAGTAAATCATGCACAATTCCGGTTTGGCCGATTTCGTTCCGGTAATTTTGATTCGAATCTTATCATCAAGCGAGCACTGTTTCGATTGCCCAAGAGATAAAGTTCACACAAAAAATAGTTTGAAACCACATGACGTATGGGTCATATGAGTTAACGAGCAAAACCTCTTGAATTAAATTTCCATCCACGAATACCTGCTGGATCTTAAAAAAAAAGTATCACACCACTTCTGAAACAGACGCTGACTGGTGATCGAAGGGTAGTGAATCGGCACAAACAATCTCCAAGCTAGGACTGACTGCCTGTATTTTTGGTGGGATTGGCAAAGACATAAGATGATCTATTAGCTACTTGTTCGTCCAAAGGAAGCAATCGCCCAGAAATCAACAGGTGAGTGTTTCATCAAGACATGGCCAGATCAAATACATCGATTGGGACTCCCTAGAAGCGCTAAGATATTGGCTATTTGAGGTTCTCATACATAATGTAATACTTTTTACTAGGGTTTATATATGGTTGAAATAGGCGTAGATATCATAACAGAAATAATGATGCGTCTGATGCAAGAAGAACTCATATCTCGCCGTGACGTGGAGTCACAGTGACAGTGCCTGCCTCGTGAAGTATTAGCGAAATGAATAATCCTTCGAGGGTATCGCAGGCCTAGCGTTTAGTAGGTAGTAGTTGTTTTATCGGTAGGGATTAATAAAAAAAAAAAATATTGCCGAAAGTATGTTGCAACAAACTGCATTTACCGTTTTCGATCTCAGTGAAGCACAATTTGAAGCAAAATATTGCCACAGTTAAGATGTTTTCTGTTGTTTCTGAATTTTTTTCCGATATGCGTTGGAATTGTTTTAGAATTAAAAAAAAATATTTGGAAGAAAGTTTTATCAGCAAAATTCATGAGCAGCTTTCATTTCGCTTCAAAAATCTCTCTTAAAAAAGTAAATAATTTCTTCACTACTCTGTACCTGTCAACCAAATTTAATACGCATATTTTCTAAAATTCACTATGTCAAAAAGACCAAATTTTTAGAAATTCAAATTCGTGTGACTTTTGCTTGCTGCTTGCATACATGTTTACAAATATACACATTTGCTTGCCAAAGTCATTTTGCACATCTGCATAATATT